TCCCATGTGCCAAACTTTCTCTTTTACGATTTAACCTTATTTTTAATTTTTTTTTTTCAAAAACATTCACCAAATTCAAAATTTCACTTATTTTTTTCAAAATTATTTTCAATTTCATTCCTAATCTATTTTTTCTCAAAAATTCACTAAAATTAAACTGAAATCAAATTTAAATTAATTATTTATATAATTTTTATAAATAAAAAAGATTATTCCAGACTGATTTTCGAACCCAGATATTATGTAATCAAAATCAAATTTAAATGTATTTATTTTTATGTAATTATTAAATTTTAATTATTTAGCATATAAAATTTAGTTATGATTTATTAGCTTAATTCATATAATTAATTACATAAAAATAATTTATATTCTTAACTTTAGTACATGAATGCCAAAAATATATATATTTTTATTTGAATTCAATTCAATTTTAACAAGAAATTCACATTACATACACGATAAGGATAAATAAATCATACATGTGAACTAACTAGATAGGGATGTATGCATCAACCCACATGTGATAATAAGACTTTTATCAATTGGTCACATGTTTGTCCAACTTTTCCCACAAAATCACAGACTTCCCAAGGTCAAATTATATAAAAGTTTGGAAACAACCATATCTTTAGAAGAAAAATGTTGAATCTAATTTTTTACCGTATAGAACATGCCCATTTGATTATAAATAATCATATCCAATATTTAATTATTTATAATATGCTTTTAAAATTTTGTATTTTACTCTTAAGACATAAAATTACATTTCAAATCATTTAGGATTTATATTCTTATTAAATCCAATTTTCAAATTCTTTTTTCAATTAGCTCATTGTAATTTAGTTCAAATTTATATTTTTATTTTATGGTACCCAATTCAAATGACATATCAATGTCAAATGATTCATGGGGTCATGCATATATACATACATACATACATACATATATACATATATATATATATATAAGTAGCATGTGATTGGGCAGCTTTTTATAGCAATTATGTAATAATCAACTCAAAAATTGTACTGTTTTTAGGTTCCTAGATTCTTTTGTCAGTCAAAACTTTGAGACCACAATTAGGTTATGTTTAGTTCACTTTAATTTAGTGATTATAATTAATTAATTACATAATATTTTTATATTTTCACTATAGGACATTGTAGTATAAAAAAAAATTATAATGAATATTGAATTTTACATTTAATAACCCTCGAAGATCCTAGCGAACTCTAGTACCGCCAATTTATATCATCCCACTAAGCAAACTTTATCGTTAAATTATCAAATTAGTTCTTAAAATCTAACATTCGATTATTTATTTGATATCCGAACATAATTTAACTTTTTATGTTAAAAAAAATTTAAAAGAAACCAAGCGTTCCAAAGTGTCGGATACCAAAATGTAAATAAAACGATATTACGGAGCAAATTATAAACTTTATAAGCTAATATGTTAGTTGCCTCTTGTTACATACATTAGGAATGGGCTTGGAGACATGACATGTGTTGCCTTAGAAAGACTTAAAACTTGTTCTAAAGCCCATTTAAGTCATTTCATAAGACTTAAAACTTATTCTAAGCCCATTTTAAGCCATTTCAAAATTTACCCATAACATAATTATTTGAGTTTCAAATAATTCAAAGTGATTTACACCATTTGACCTAATTTGAGGAAGAGGGTCCTTCTTTATTTATAATCATATATATATATATATATATATACAAAATGGCAATTCATGATTTACTATACATTGGTGCCACACTTTGGTGATTAAAATAGCAAATTCATGATTCATCAAGTAAATTTTCATATGCATTTCATTAGAACACTATATTATAATTGATGATCCAATTGAATCTAGACCATTGTTTATTTACCTTTTCAATTAGTTCATAGTAAATGTTTCACTTTACTACTTCGATTCGAAACAAACATCTAATCATGAATACATTGATAAATTTTAAATTACTTTTAACAAAAATATAAAATAATAATAATAATAATAATTAATATAGCCAATTTTATAAATACATTATTTACTATAGTTTATGATAAATCAAAAACTTTTAAAAAAATTAAAAATCACGAATTTAATTTTATTAAATATATACTGGTTAAATAAAATAAATTATTAGACTGTAATAATTAAATTAAATTAAAATTT